TTGAGATGAAGCTTGATCAGTGTAAGTCTTTCGATCTTTGAGAAATGTTGAGTCTTTAGATCCTTGATATATCATAGTCAATTTGGATAAGAACTTTCTATTGTTGACTTGATAGTTGTAGAATCAGATTTGTCGTTGTAAACACTTCTTTCTTCAACAGTTCATAGCGCATTTGGATATCCCAGAACCCATAGTTGCTTCGTTCAGAATCCGAAACTTCACTTGTACATAGTCCACATTTTGAATACTTCAGAGTCCAGAGTCTATGAGTAAAATATGCACACTTAAACACACTGTTAGAGTACAAAATTAATCTTCATACAAATGTACTCGTTATCATCAAAACTCCAAGTATTAGTTGACGAACCAAACTTGTTCCAACAACTCCCCCTTTTTGATGATGACAATACCATGTATATTGATGAAAAAATTTCCTTTGATAAACACACAATAATTAAAAACATCAGAGTTAGGTTTGTAAGCTCTCCATGAGTTTAAAACTTATTAAAAATTTTCAAGTACAATGGATTAAGGTTTGCAAGCTCTCCCTATGAATAATATCAAAAAATTTCATGACTACTTCAGAGTCAAGTTTGCAAGCTCCTCCTGAGAGTAACATTTAGAAATTTTTTGATAGTTCAGAAATTTTTTAATTAATAAGAATGTGACTGGTTTAACCAATCTGAGAGATGCACGATAGTTTAAAACAACTGAGTTAGGTTTGTAAGCCATCTCTAAGTTTAAACATATTAAAGTTTCCAGTTTCATTAGAGTGAGGTTTGCAAACTCTCTCTAAAAACAAGAAAATCTTAATCATAGTTAAATGTGCCAATAATCCGAATCTGTGCCAAGTTAAGAATATATCATATTTTCCTACACACAGAAATTATTCAGAGTAAATATGGATATAACAATCAGATTAGCTCAAGTATCAGAGTTTCCACAAGATGTATCAAATGTTAGGGCTATATTAGGGAAACGGATACATCAAAATCATTCATCATTTTCCTCCCCTTTGTCATCAATAAAAATTATGTAAATAAGCACAAAGATTGAATGAAAAGGATAAACAGAGAACTGAAAAGAGAAATATTTTTCATTGATCATTTGGGAATGATGAATACAACAGAACACTAGATACATAATCATGAAAAAATGAATTGGCAACAACAACCAACAATCTTTCAATGAACAACTTATCCAAGAAACTCAAACTTTTCACATTATTCCTTTGTTAGGGAAATAACATCCCTATCCCTTTTTACTTGATTAATTATCCCATCACTTATGAAAAATATCAGAGCGGACTCTTTCATAAGGTGTGAGAAATGACATCTTGCTTCTGGAGGCAACAATTATCTCCTTAAATAGTTAAAGATAGTAAAGGGAAGATTAATGTAAAAATTGAACAACAAGAAATACAGGAAATGTGTGTCCTTGTAGGTCATAAGTTCCACTTTTTTTCTCTAGGATGTAGGTTAGCCCTCAGGATTTGATGTCAAACTCTAGCCTTAGGATGAAGAGTTGTTGGACAGTTGAGTGTGTCGAAATTGTTGTAGATGTCGAAGATCTGAGATTTAGAGAAGGTATTATTGAACTTGTAATGTTCGATAGTAGACCCTCTTTCCATGTAACCAATTGCAACAACAATGGATGTAGGAGTAATTGTTAAAGTAATTCCATAAACAAAAGAACATATTTCCATTTCATTATGTCCAATAGATGCATAAACCCATAATTCTTTTATAAGATTTGGGAAAATGGGACCATTTAGAATAGTAAAATAGTTTACCCATTTTTATTTAAGAACTATCTTTAATAGATCAAATCTCTGCTCATTCAATTCAGAAATGGACGACCTTTTCGTTGATCACCAAAAGTAGTTCTTCATCACCCAGGAAAGTTTTGATAGGCATTTTGGAAATGTCTGAATAAAGGTGAAGGAGAAATATAGTTTGAGAAGAGGATGTGAGAAATGAAAGAGCAAGAGAGGATTTTAAATAGAGATGGAAGGAAGAGTAACAGACAGTCAAAAAAATTTAGTTCAGATAACCAACAGATGGAATTAAATACTATCTTTTGAAAACCTTAGTGATTAAATAACATGCTATCAATTAATGACTTAGGAGAGATATAGGGTCATGATTTTATTCTGTTCCCAAGACATAGAGTAGTCCGAAAGTCTAATCAAATAGATTTTGACATCTTCATGTGTGACAACTGTTATACATTAGAGTCTCAATCATTTTAAGCGTGACTTTTGCTTTTCCTCAGATTTTATCAATTAGAATTTAAATAAGACCGCTTCTGAGTAAATAAAAACTTTTGTCTCCAGAAGGGTAACGCTTCAAATTTCATTTCCCAGAGTCTTATATCACATAATTACAGGCTAAACAAATATCTCATTTTGGACACAATTCTATGTTTATATTTTTCAAGATAAAAACAAATATGTCCCCAGCAAGGGATTTTGTAAAAACATCAGCCCATTGATGGTCTGTGTCAATAAATTTTATTTAAAATATCCTTCTGAACATAATCTCTTATAAAATGATGTTTGATCTCAATATGTTTTTCCCTTTAGTGTAATATGGGATTCTTTTATAAACAAATAGTTGAAGTGTTATCACATAGAATGTGAATGTTACCTTCTTTAATATGATAATCTTCCAGCTGACTATTCATCTAGAGTACTTGTGTGCTACTACATCTAGAGACTGTAATATATTCAGCTTCTGTTGTTGAAAGAGTTATTATTGATTGCCTCTTACTGAATCATGAGATTAAATTTTCACCTAGAAACTGGCAGCTTCCACTTGTGCTTTTCCTTTCAAGTCGGTCTCCAGAATAGTCAACATCACAATAACCTACCAACTTGTATTCTTTTGATTTTATATATATATATATATATATATATATATATATATATATATATATATACATATATATATATATATATATATATATATATATATATATATATATATATATATATATATATATATATATATATATATATATATATATATATATATATATATATATAAACCAAGGTTAGTCGTACCTTTCAGATATCTAAAGATTCTTTTAACAACTGTTAAATGGGACTCTTTAGGATCTGATTGGAATCTAGCACATAAGTATACATTGTATAGAATGTCAGGTCTAGAAGCAGTCATATACAGAAGAGAACCAATCATACATCGATATAACTTCTGTTTGACCTTCTTACCTGTTTCATCCTTCTCAAGAATACATGTTAGATGCATATGAGTCTTAGTTGTCTTTCATTTTGATAGATCAAACTTATTCATAAGCTTCTTCATATATTTTCTTTGATGAATGTAGGTTTCTTCAGACCTTTGATTGATCTGTATTCCCAGAAAGAACTTAAGATCATCCATCAGACTCATTTTAAATTCTGCATGCATATACTTAAAAAATTCCTCACAAAAGGAGGCATTAGCAGAACCAAAAATAATATCATCAACATAGATTTGAACTACAAGTATATTATTTTTGAATGATTTGCAGAACAGAGTTGTGTCAACGATTCCTCTAGTAAAATTATTTTTCAAAAGGAAGTTACTTAGTCTTTCATGCTGTAGCGGTATAAAAATTTGAGATTAAACCATTAATTAATTTAACTCATATCAGTGAAAGTCGCCACCACAATTTATTGTTTCCAAAGGGAAATACGAGAAAAAGAGAATAAAACCCACAAAAGAATAGAGATCAAGGTACGTGGGTCGGTTATGAAAAGGGAAGGTATTAGCACCCTAAACATCTACGGTACTCCGTAGGACCCACTTTGTTTGTTCTAATCAGAGAGTGTGTTATCTAAAGACTTATTTGCTAAAGAGAATGAATGAGTGAATATTTATAAATAAAAGAAATGTGTTTTATTATTGCGCCCTCCACGATTGCGAACCTTTGTGCCTACGTACCCCCTTTGTGCAATAGAGGATCAATGCACTCGTGTTTTTTCTAAAAAAGAACAAAATTGTGTTGGTTGATTTTAAATGAAAAGACAAGTCATCATTTTTAAGGAGAAGACTCGTCTAATCCCCCACAAAGTATGAAAAAAAAGGGATACGCACCAGTATGAGGAAGGGTTTGGACACGCCTCTAGTACTCAAGTGGAGAAGTCGACATCTTTACAACCATGTGGATAGGGAGATGACATCTCGACTATAAATGAATCATGTTTAATCTTGAAAAAAAGATATTAAATGAGAAGAGGTGCGCGAGGGCACAAAAATGTTTGAATGAGGTTAAATATTTTGTTAGGAGAATACATTAGATGGTCTCTCAAAAGCTGGGGGTATCTAAGTACTTCTCCTTTATTTTTGAAAGTGTTTGAATAATATTAGATGGATTGACATTTGATTAAGAAAAAGAAGTTTGAAAAATCACTTGACAAGGTCAAGGTTTATTATGAAAGCGGTTCGAGTTTTTAAAACAAGATGGTTTTAAAGAAGATGAGAAAGTTTTGAAAATTAAAGAATGAGAAACAATATAAAGAGAATAATCTAAACAAAAGGTGAAAGATAGGGTAAGGAACAATATAACCAAATAAAAAGCTAATGCTTGACAAATAAAGTCAATAAGAATTCCAATCCTTTGGATTAAAGCCACAAGTAAAGCATAAACCAAGAGAATACAAAGCGTTCGGTGACAATAAATCACAAGCATGAAGTATCAGATAAACTCAAGGTGTCAGGTAAGTACAATGTGTCAGATAAAGCATCTGATGATCATCAAGATATCAATAATATTCCCTACATGAGATGAAACACACAGACGAAACCAACAACACAGAAAAACTACCCAAGATCTATGATAAGGCTCAAGAGTAAGGCACAGGACCAAAATGAACTTAATCGAAAGCCACAAAATAAACCGGTGAATGAAGTCTATGCATCCATATATATTCGAAAGCTATTGAAATTAACTTTGTAATTGCAATGCAATGATGAAAATAGAAACACAACTTGAATTTATTTACAAACAAATCGAATAAAATATAAAGTCAAAAGTTCTATGTCTAATTGTATTTTTATATTATTAAACATTAAACCAAAGTGATAAAATAATTCAATAATAAAAAAAATGTAAATGACAAAGCATGGAGATGCTAAGAAGAAATGAATGCTCGAACCATTCTTGAAAGCCTTTACTATAACAAACTTGTTCGTAATCACAAGAGGGATAGAAACAAATGAAACTTGCATCAAATCAATGGATAATTGAATATTTCCCTCGATCAAAGAATCACATACATGAAATGAAACAAAGACATGAATCAATTGGCAATTAAATCCACTCGTGAGTTAACAAGAGTCATGGTAAAAGGTGTGAAGTCTCAAGAATTAACAACTTGCATCTTTAAGTCTCACGAAAAGCTTCTAAGCTTCAAAACAAACTTCAATCCACATTAGGAGCACAAACACATATTCTACTCATTAACACCAATCAATGATTGTGAATGATCTCATGGTATCTCAAATTAACTTCAAAACATGAAAACCAAATTTCAAAATAAGCTTTAACCACCTAAATTAAAATTCGAGCAACAACTACACATACACATCAATGCTCCATAATTTCAATCCAAATATGTTTTGAAACAAATGAGAATTAATCAATATCAAGATCAAGTTTAACTCATTTAAAATTAACTCAAATTAAATCAACATGTCATCAACACCTCCTTCATGTTAGCTCAAATAACATGATATCAACATCTCAACAATTAGCTCATAAGATTATCCAATTTCTTCATTTAATTCAAAATTTCAATTAATAAAAGTCCTACTATCACCAAAGAATCAACATGATCTTTAAAACTAATTCAAACAATAATATCAACAAAGCTTCAACAATAAGAACAAAACAATGTCATTACCAATTCAACACTAATCTAGCAACAATGTCATTACTAACAATTTCAATAACAATGTCATTACCATCACCTTCAACAATTAAAACTAACACTATCATTATTAATTTCAAAACTAATTCAATAACAATGTAAATTAAATTCAACAATTCATCACTAACATTCACAAAATAAATTCACTACACATATCACTATTCATCATCTTCAACCCTTTAATTAACACCAAATTGAATTCCAATTTCAATATTTAGCTAAACAACAACAACCTCATCAATTAATTTAACAACACTCTACCAACAACTTCAACAATTTAAAACAATAACAATATCATTATAAATTTCACCATTCATCATGAAAAATATTTAACAAGGAACCAAAACTATGTCATCAATTAGAACAACAACACAAGTTTCATAAGTTAATTCTAACATTAAATCAACAATTAAATTAACTAAAATAAAAAAATGGTGATAGAAATGAAATTACCCACTTGAAGGTGGAGATAGAAGTGTTGTTGTTGTTGGCACAGGATTGAGTTAACAGAGAGAGATGTCTGCGTGATGGTGGCAGTCCGGTGAAGAGAGGTTGTCGAAGAGTGGACCGGTTGGAGTGGGTCTGGGCGGAGGGAGGTTGGGCTATTCGGTTGAGTGTGGACCGGATGGAGAGTATTGCAGTGTTCTTCGAGAAATAGAAGAAGAACGAAGGAATTTGTGTCAAGTTGTTGTTTGGATCCCCTTTTTCTTATGCCTTTTTTCAATGAAATTTTGCTTTTTGCCAAACAGGTCCTTCTCTCTCTTCGTTCTTTTTTTTTTTTCCTAATAACTCTCTTCACATCACTTAAATAACAAAAACTAATAGGTTTAGTAATTTTATTAAAGGTTTAAAATATCCTTTTAGATATTTTTCACATGAAAAAATGAAGGAGAAAAAAAATAAAGCTATTCAAAAATATTTTTATTTTTATTTTTTGAATAAAAAAATAGAGATTCAAAATGATCAAAAACAATAAAAAATTAATATTTAATTAATTTTTTTTTTAAAATGAACACATTAAAATAAACTACATATCACAAAGATTAATTAAAAAAATATCAAATGATCAAAACCAAAATAAAAATGAGAATAAAAAAATCAAATTGAACAAACACTGACGATTAAAAACGTGACTGCAAACTGTACCGAAAAAATAAAACGAGTATACCGATCTGATATATGAGACGCAGATTCATAAAATAGTTAGTAAGAGGTGAAAACTTAAAATATTTTCTCGCTAATTTTTCGCATAATGTCGAACCGCTTTTAACAATCTATCTGTAAAACTGAAATATCAATATTATCGACATATAAACAACTTAATGCAATACGTGAAGCGGGTAAGAGATGAAAATACATGAAATGAGATGACATGTATTTTTTAACTATAAAACGATGCAAATGTTGATTTAAGTTGACTTTTAGTCAACCTAAATATGACTAATGATACAAAATGTGATGAATGAAGATGTTTATTGAAGATTGTGACCAAATAACAAAATATAATATGATAATGCGACTAAAAAAATTAGGGGAGAAATATAAAGTGTAACACATACAATGCTCTGAGAGCTTGTTTCAGACTATACAGTGATTTCTTAAGTTTATACACAAAATATAGATTTATATGATTTTCAAAACTAAGAGGTTGATGAACATACACTTCTTCTATTATGTAACCATTCAAAAATGCATTCTTGACATCCATCTGATATAGAATGATATTATGATTTATAGCAAATGAAATAAGGAGGTGGATAAATTCTAACATGGCCACTAGTACAAAGGTTTGCAATATAGTCAATCCCTTCTTGCTGACTATAGCCTTGTGCAACCAGTTTGGCTTTGTTTCTTACCATATCTCCTTGCTTGTTCAGCTTGTTTATGAATATCCAATTGGTTCCAATAACGTGCTTTCCTTTTGGTTTAGGTACTAGATCCTATACATTGTTTCTGGAGAATTGATTTAATTCTTCCTGCATGGCCAAAATCTACTCAAAGTCGAGAAGAGCTTCATTGATAGATGGTGGTTCTATGACAGACACCAGACCCACACGATTTTACTCATCTTGTCTGAAGGAGGATCTAATTCTGACTGGTTCAGTTTTATCTCCCAGAATCAGTTCCTCAGGATGTGGAAATTTTGCCTATGCATCCTCAGAGGTGTTGGAGTATTGATTGATTCTGGTTGAGCAGGTCCAGAGTTCTTGACCTCAAAGTCTTTATCTTCAGAGTCTTTATCTTCAGAATCTGAACAGATGATTTCAAGATCTGCAAAATTTTCAACTAGCTTTGACTTTTCAAGGGAAAGCTTATCATCAAACTTAACATGAATTTATTCTTCAACAATTCGTGTTTCTGTGTTGTACACTTTGTAGTCTTTAGAGTTTTTAGATTATCCTAACATGATACACTTATGTTCCTTAGAATCAAACTTGTCGAGGGAGTCTTTAGTGTTGAGTATAAAACAGACATGCCCAAACAGATGAAAATAAGAAATGTTGGACTTTCTATTTTTCTATAGTTCATAAGGAGTCTTATTCAGAATTGGTCTTATAAAGATTTTTTTTCTGAATATAGCATGTTGTGTTAACTACTTCTGCCTAAAAGTGCTTAGCCATATCAGTCTCGTCGATCATGGTTCTAGCCATTTCTTGTAGAGTTCGATTTTTTCCTTTCTACAACTCTATTCTATTGAGGAGTTCTAGGACAAGAGAAATCATGAGAAACGACGTTTTCATTAAAAAAAATCAAAATCTTTGTTTTCAAATTCATCACCATGATCGCTTCTGACTTTGATAATTTTAAATTCTTTTTTGTTTTGCACTTGGGAGCATAATGTAGCAAACACAAAATGTGACTCATCCTTGTATTTTAAGAGTTTCACCCGTGTCCATCTGTTGTAGTCATCAATGATGACTAACCCATACTTCTTACTACTGACAGAGGCTATTTTCATAGGCCCAAAAGGTCAATATGTAAGGGTTTCAAAGGCCTAGAGGTAGAATTTTTTTAGCTTTGAAAGAAGTTTTTGAAAACTTGACTTTCTAACATGCTTTTCAAAGAGTGTATGAAGCAAATTTCAGATTTGGAAGACCCTTGACAAGATTTAGCTTTCTTAGCTTAGAGATGTTTCTCATGCTAACATGGCCTAATTTTCTGTGTCAGATCTATTGCTCTTCATTTACAGACAAAAGACATTTAACATTTTGGTTTTTTAAATCAGACAAATTTTTGTAAATGTTGTTTTTCCTCTTGTCTCTGAATAGTACAGAGTCATCCTTCTGACTGACAGCTTTACAAGACTCTTGATTAAATATAATATCATAACCATTAATATCAAAACTAGCTTTACAGGACTCTGGATAGCGCGCCCCTTATCACAATGTTTTTCCAAACGTTTGTTGTGATAAATTTAATAGTCTCGGGTTCGATTCTCATATGTGCTATTTTGATATATTTTTTTTTGGAAAGTGCGCGAAATATTATAACGGTTATGACTATAACCGTTGATGAATATTCTTCATAATTAACATATATTATCCTGCTTTTATAATTCATCCCATTTTTTAACTTGTATTATTGTTCACCGTATCACAGCAGAAAATAAAACTCACATTTGTGATAAAGTTGTCTGAATAATATTAATTATATCATATTTATATTATCACATAATTGTATCATAAATTATACCATACACAAACATCCTACAATTTATCAGAACAAACAATCTACAGTTTACACATTATATAAAGACCTATAATTCATCCTACATATCACAATCTTGTCTCTTGATGTCTTGTCTCTTGGTCTCTTGAATCTAAAGGTCTATAATTTCAAATAATTATACTTGTTTGTAAAAATACTTGGAAACCATAACATACATGAATATATTATGAATAAAGAATAAATTACGTACCTGTTAATTTTCCCAAATGCCTTCTTCAGGATCGATTCGAATAGCATGGACATCATCTCCATCAACTTCATCATATGAGGTAGGAACTTGTGTTGTGTAAGAAGGTGTGGACGGAATATCAAGACTTTCATCACTAAGAAGAATGTGTTTTCCTTGGATTACAATTGACTATTTCCTCGATATGTCCGATGGTCGGTAACATAGAAAACTTTTTTTGCTTGAGAAGCCACGACAAATGGTTCAGTCATAAAAGATGCCTTGCCAAGGTCGTCCCAGGTGAATTCTAAGTTATCTATGTGTACACCATTACTATTATTGGGAACCCACTTGCATTTAAATAAAGCCACTTTAAAATAACATAATCAATCTCTCAAATATCATCAATGACACCATAAAATGCGGTAGTTACCAAAACAAGATTCTTATCTTTCGAACTAGAGAAATACATCGATTCGGCTTCAACCATAACCCCACTATTTTGTATTGTACTACGCTCATCTTTTGATTTTGTATAAAAGGTTAATGACCAACGTTGTATGCAGTCTAAGTAATGACACAAAATTTTTGCTCATACACAACCATTTAAGTATCTCGGATACACTACAATCATTAGACACACTTTTATTTAACCAATCTATGAACCTCTTGTTATGCTCTATCAACAACAACTTATCACTCATTCAGGGATATTTTTTCCTCAAAAGTATTTTGTGAGTATCTATGAAAGGTTGAACTTCATTTATATTATTAAATATATAGAAATGTGCTTGAATAAATATATCCCGAGCCATTGACTTAAGATTTAGACCTTGAGTACCTCTTCCGTCTGTGTGATCAACGTAACGAGACTTTAAAATGCCTATAGAATCTACTTCCAATTAATAGTTTGTACAAAAATCAACAACTTATTCAGTGATGTACCTTTTAACAATCGATGCTTCCGATCGGTGATGATTCTTCATATATCCTTTAAAGATATTCATATATCACCCTATTGGATACATCCACCTTAAATAAACTGAACCACAAATTCTGATTTCTCTGACTAGATGAACAAGTAAGTGAACCATAATGTCAAAAAATTATGGAGGAAAATACATCTCCAATTGACACAAGATTATGACAGCCTCCTCTTCTAATTCATCTAATTTTTTGAAATCAATAATTTTATTACATATGACATTGAAGAATAAGCACAATCTCGTTATAGTTACTCTCACATTCTTTGGTAGGATCCTACAGATAGCTAATGGTAGAAGTTGTTGCATCAATACATGACAATCATGAGATTTTAAACCAATTAACTTGATATCTTTCATTGATACAAGTTTCTTGATGTTTTATGAGTAACCTTTCGGAACTTTAATACCTAACAAACACTCGCAGAAAATTTTCTTTTCCTTTTTAGATAGAGTGTGACATGCTGGAGGCAGATAAGTTATTTTCCCTTTCTATATTGGAGCCAACTGTTTTCGTATACCCATCTCCTCCATGTCAAGACGGGAAGCCTTACTATCTTTAGTCTTGCCTGTAATATTTATAAGTGTGCCAATTAAACTATCACACACATTTTCTCCATGTGCATCACATAAAGACAATGTCTAACATCTAGATTTGACCAATATGGAAGATCAAAGAAGATGGACCTCTTTTTCCATATATTTTTTGCAACTGCCCCTTTTTCTTTTTCTCTCATCATGAAGACAACATTAATGTGTTCCTGCCGTTAATAAACTTCATCCCTGGTTAAAGGTCCAGGAGCCTCATCAAACTCTTGCTCTCCATTAAAAGCCTTCTGCAATCTATGATAAGGATGGACGGGTTTTAGAAATTTTTGATGCCCAAGGTAAATGGTC